ATTGTTTTACACGCTATTCCTTGAAATACATCTCTAGAGATTCAACTGACAGAACGATCATGGCATAAGGAGGGCACGTGCTGTAGTGCTTTAATTCTGACACTGTCCAACCAGCGTGTTTCTCCCCTAACACCAATCACTGAGAAAATAGCTCAGGTTCCACGGGCCATGACATCTTGAGTGATATTGCCAGAAAAAAAGAAGAAGAGGTGCCAGCTACTGTCAAAAGCGATTAGCATAATTTATGAAGGAAACACTTGTGCTCTAGATCCTGGTTTGACACCGTGAACGCATTTCACATCTCAGCCCCAAAGCTGTCCAGCTCTAAACTCAAAAGAAGTTTGTATCTGACTCCAGCTCCAAAAACAGCAACTCAGGCTCAGAATAGTTTGTTTTTTCAAGTAAAACCGGGAGCATAGAAATCAAAATGAGGAGAAATACAGTAATTTTGGCTGTGAATTTTTTTCTGAAGTGGGGGGATATGTGAATCAATTAAAGGATTTGATCCAATAGTCAATAATTAGTTTGTTTCCTCTCTCCCCTTTATTTTTGATTTCTTTCTCTAATTCCAACTTTCTCAGACCTACCTAGATATATTATTTTTTGACAATTTTTTAGCCCCCATGTTATGTTATGTATTGCTAATATTTTTTTTTTGGGGGGGGGGGTAAAATGGTTGAATTTCAATGAGAATATAATATTTAATTTCAAAAGCCCTTCAAATTCAAATTATACAGACTGAAGATGACATCATAGGTGAATTCTTTTCAGTAAACAGTGGAAAAACTTGAACTGCACATTAACTTCCTATTTTTTTGGAAATGTCCTTGACTATATTTCATTAGAAGGAGCTTTGTACAATAAAAACTGTCCTGAAACGACCTCTCCCCCCCCAAAAAAAAAAAAAGTTCTTAGAAGATGCTTGGTCTCTTTGCTTATTTCTCATTTTCTCATTTGAGTGAGCTCTAAGGTGAAAGAACCCTTTGGGAGCAGAGGTTGAGTTAAGTAATGCTAAATAAACTAAAAAGTACTAGTATGGAAATAGTGCTGCTGATTTTCCATGGCTGTTAACGCTACAATTGTTCTCATTCTGTTTCCTCCCCAGATTTCTGCCATCATAGTGCATCCCAATTATGACCCCATATTACTCGACTCTGACATAGCTATCATAAAACTCTTGGACAAAGCCAGGATCAGCAGTCGCGTTCAACCCATTTGCTTGGCATCTTCTCATGACTTGACTTCACCCACAGAGGATTTAAAAATAATGGTTACTGGCTGGAAGGTGTTGGCTGACATTAAAGATCCCGGATACAAGAACGACACGATCCGCATGGGAGCTGTTCGGATGGTGGACTCACTGTTGTGTGAGCAACAGTATGAGGACAATGGGATACAGGTCAGCATCACTGACAGCATGTTCTGTGCCAAACAGGACCACACGGCCTTTTCGAATATCTGCCCTGCTGAGACTGGTGGGATTGCAGCCATAACTTTACCAGGAAAAGCATCTCCTGAGCTAAGGTGGCACCTGATGGGATTGGTGAGCTGGGGTTATGATAAAACTTGCAGCCTAGAACTCTACAGTGGCTACACCAAAGCTTTTCCCTTTAAAGACTGGATTGAGAAGAACCTGAAATAAAAAGCTGTGTCTGGAAACGGCATTTTATAATTACCATAATATCTGTCACAGTCTCCTCTGCTTTAGGCTTCTCATCCCAATGATGAGCCACGTCTGGGATAAGGTTAAGGCAGACACCCTGGTAATTTGTCCTAGGATCAGATGTTCCATCAGGCTACTCTTAATTCCTGGCAGAGTGTCTTTGTGCATGGGAAGTTTTGCCATATTTCACCTGTCTCCCCTGGTGGGAGGACGATGCCCTGCTCCTGAGTCTGACATACAGAAACGGGACAGCAAATTCTGACTGAAATTAATCTGTAGCATGGAGTCCCTTAGAGAAATCAACGGTGAGCCTCTCCCAAAGGTCAGCGTGACTGACAGGAATAAGAGGCTGGAAAGAGTAGCCTGAATTCATTACGATGGATGAGCTTGTTACGGTATGTGCTGTCTCTATTGCCATAGTACAATGTAATCTTTTTCCCTCCCAAGTACTTTACACATTTAAATAAACCATGGTTTGTTTTTTTAACCTACATACCCATGTCTGACATTATTTAGATTCCTTGTTGCTTTATCTGTGTCACACTCTAGGGACTCCCTGCTGCCCTTGTCTGTTTGCATGTGACTCACTTGGGACTCTGGGACTCTTCAGGCACACCGAAAGGCAAAATTAGCACAAAATTCAACTACTGCATAAATAACAAGAATCCTTTTTTTTTTTTTTTTTTTTTTTTTTTTCCTTAATACATCCAGTGATGGTATTGTATATGAGCCATTGCAGTGAAATGTACCTGGAGGGTTAACTCCCACCTTGTATTCTGAACAGATGAAAACCCAAAACACACTTTTCAAAGCATTTTTCCTTGTGGATTATTTCAAAGACCTCTGAAAACCTTGGGACAAGTTCTGGTTTCTGTCAGTTCACACACTTTTGTGGCAAAATAACTCCCCAGTAGCCCACCAGGGTAAAGAATAAAGTCCAGCTCTCATGCTTAGTAGAGGCTTTTCTTAACTGGACTTTTTGACATCCGAGTGTACGATTCTCCCATTGGGCATGTTGCCAGTGGAGAGACTTTGGTGTCCTCATGGTCTTTAATTACTGCTCTCTGCCTAAATCATTTTCCTCTATTCAGCTGTGGATGAAGACTGAAGATGATCCCTAGAAAAAGTTTGTGAGAGTGGACAGAGGAATGTCTCCTGTCACAGATCTGTCATCTATGACACCCTGGAATTTGCAGGACTTCCAGATTATTCCAGAGCCCAAACCAGATCAGAGCAACAGTTGGATGTGAAGATTCAATGAAAGGATTTGTTACTCTCACCAGGAAGGACTTGCATGTTATAAGCTTGCTGTTATAAGCTATCAAGTCTGTTTTCAATTCTCATTTCTCTAATGCCGTGAAATCTCGTTTAGTGTTTCTTAGTGCTCAGAAGTTTTTCCACCTACTTTTGAATCTGAAAATGACTGCTAAAAGGGCAACCTGTATTGGGGACCACTCTGTAATTTATGTTTGCTTTCCTGGTCAAAAGTACTTAACGCTTTTGAAATTCTCTTATTTTTACTGGTGATAGGACCAGTTTATTTGTTAATTGAATCAGAAAGTTTAAGGGCTACAACCAAAGTGAATTACTTTTCTTTATGTTGCTTGTCTATCTCCTCCTGCCAGGAGATTATACTTGGCTGACAAACTGTATGACAACAAAAATTCTGAATTAAATGTGAAAAATGAGATCTGTTCCTCTGCTGGGAGGCACACTTTTCAGTGAATGTATGGTACTTGTCCTCTAAAAGAAGTGTTTAGAGGATATTAGGTGGCAGTTTTGGAGGAGAGTAAACTCACAGAAGGCTGACACGTGTTTCTTCCTAACACTATCAACGGCGAATGAAATGAAGGAATGAGAAAGAAATATAATTGTTTATTGGAGCATGGCTTGCCCAGTGTGACCTCTTCCATGGTTAAGTTAAATGAAAGTCTCACACCCTAATGGTAAGAGAAATTCTCTTCTAAAACAGAAATCATAAAGGGCCGTGAGCTGGTTCTTTTCTCCGCTGTGGCACTGTAGCTGCCCTGCTCTGTATCATGTTGTTCTCCACTGCTGCAACTGAGAAGGTAGGCCACAGGGTTTTTTCCCTGTAGGATTTGTCCAGAGGAGAGCTAGGTGCTCCGCACTGAACTGCAAAGTCTGAGTTAATTCCAGCCTTAGCCCTCACTCCTCTCCTTTTACCGCAGCTCATCCACACTGAGTATTTACTGATCCTCCAGCTCCTCCTCAGTGATGAATCCCATCCCCATGTCATTTCAGTCCCTACAGATCTGGCGATGTAAAGCTGAAATCTGCTGGGCTTGGGCAGCAACAATATAGCTGTTCCCTGGCTGTGTATCACAGAAAAGTGTATTATTGGAGAGAAACTTGAGTTGAAGGAACTGATGGGATGAAAATCACCGGGTGTTAAGGCTCGTCGTGGGAGGAGGGTGCTACAGCTGTGCACGCACCACAGAATTCAGCCCCCTCCCTTTCACAGGATGGAGATGCTATTTAGGGGGAAGCAAGGACACAGTCAGGCTTCGCTGGACACCAGCATCAAGATTTCAGCTCGGTCCTTTATGGAAGGAGGACTCAGCTGCAGCATCGGGGTCTGCTTCTGGGCCGCCACCGGGCTGAATCCTAGATCCAGTTCTGGCTGATCTCCAAACGCAGCCACCGTGCGTTACTCCTGCGTTATGTGACCTATACATGGCCTTGTACATACACAGATACACGGGCACATGGGGCGGGCGGTCACAGCAGGGCACCCAGGCACCTGAGCTGTCCCCGGGGGTTACAAACATGCTCCCGGCTCAGCCTGCCCCCCCAGCCCGAGCAGGGCAGGGGTTAACACCTCCCTTTGAGGAGGGAGAACCGGGGGTGCAGGCTGGCAAGACCCAGCCCCCCGGCTGCAATCGCTGCTCCTGGGGAGCTCCGGGACCCGTCTGCGAGCCGCGAAGCGACGCGGAGCATCCCCATCTCCGCCCGGGTGGAGGACCCCGACCTCCCCCCGGGGACAGACGGCACCCGGCAGCCCGGGGGTCCCGGCCTCCCCTCCCCGGGGTCCCTCACCCTCAGGTAGGGCGGGGGGCTGCGGGTCGGGGCCGTGCAGGTGGGGCCGCGCCGCCGCCGCCTTCCCGTCAGGGGGCAGCACCGCGCCGCCGCCGGGACCCGGGGCCGGGAATGGGGCCGGGAATGGGGTCGGGGGGAGTGGGGAGTGGGGCGTGAGGGGCTGGGGGCGGCTCCTTGGTGTCCCCCCCACGGCGGAGGGGAGCGGGGCAGGTAGCGGGCGGCGGCAGCGGGCGGTCCTCCCCCTGCGGGGGGCTCGCCGCCCCCTTCCCCTCGCCTCTCCCTCCCGCTTTAAAGGCGAGCTTGGGGGGGGTGTGGGGGGGGATTTGCGGGAGGCACGGCGGCGGTGATGTCAGCCCGAGCCTAAAATAGAGCGGGATAGGCTGCAAATCCACGGCGCGGGGGCTAAAGCCTTGCAATCCCGCCGCAGCCCGGCACCATGCCGCTGTGAAGTGCCCCCCCCGGCTCTCTCCCACTCGCACCCGCAGCCGGAGGACCCCGCCCGGCCCCCGCCAGGTGCCCGCAGCCCCTCTGCTGGGCGGCCCCCGGGGCACGGAGCCGGGGCGCGGAGCCCCCCCTGGGCGGGCGGCGGCGGCGGCGGCGGCGGCTGCCGGTCGCTGGCGGATCCCCGAGGATTACCAGGAGCCGCTCGCCCCGTCCCGGAGGCTGCCGAGGGCCGCCCGCAGGGAGCGCAGCGCCCCGCTGCCCGCAGCCGTCCCGCGGGGCCCCCAGGAGCCGGGGGCTGCCGGCACCATGGCATCGGCGGACGGGTGAGGGGACCCCGGGGCTGCTCTGGGGGGGAGATGGGGGGCGAGGGGGGTCCCCCCAGCCGTGCCCCGGTGCCGGCTTCGTGCCTCGGCCTGCCCCGCAGAGGGAGATTTGGGGGGGAAAGGGGAAGGGTTTGAGCTGTCAGCCGCCGGGAGGGGTTCGGGTTCCCTCCCCGCCGCTTCTTTGTTTAACCCCTGGGGGGCACGGCAGGCTCGGAGCACCTGCCGGGGAGAGCGAGCTGCCTGAATGGGAGAGGGGAGCCGCCTCCTAAAATAATACCAGCAATAGCGATAACCTGTGCTGCTAAAAGAAATGGGGAGCTGGCTTCCCCCCCCCACCCCCCCGCCTCTGCAAAAGGCAACACGCAAATCCAACTTCTTGAGGAGTTTTGCAATTTTGCAGGTTTGTGCCAAACGCAGCGCTAGCGAGGGAAGTGCCGGGAAGGGCGAAGGGTTACACAAGAGGCTTTGAGGCAAGCCAGCCCCGTCCCAGTCCCGCCACGGCCTCATCCCCCTGTCCCCTGCCCTGTCCCCCTGGCAGAGACCTGTCCCCTGCCCCTCAGCATTGAGGCTCAGCTCCCGTGGGGCTGGGGGCTTGCTGCTCTGCAGACTGGCTGGCAGCGTGCGAGGAAAGAAAAGGTTTCCTTGATCTCTGCTTGCCCTCTTCTAATAGTAGCTGGCATTAGGCTGCGTGTGGTGTGAGCCTCCCCTTTATCCCTGGCTGTTGTCAGGTTGGATCAGTGTGATCTGCTCTGGATGGGACTCTCTGAGGACAGAGTGCAAAAGGAAGCTGTGTTGGTACTGGGGCTGGGAGGCTTGCTGAGCTGCTTTAAATGAGCTGCTAGCACATGGCTGGGGGGTGTGCGCACAGGTGTCCCATCGCTGGGATGGCAAAAGGAACTTGCTCTCCGCAGAGCGGCCCGAGGACAGTTGGCTTGGGCCGAGGGGAAGGTTAGGAAGAGTTCGCTTTGGTTGCTTTAGGACAGGGACAGTCCCCAGGGCTGACAGAGGGCAGGTCCGCGGGGCTCTTCTACCTCACAGAGTCACTAACTCGCCATTTGCCTTGCCCTCGCTAGGAATTTCTCCTCCAGATTTGTACGTTCCTCTACTACTGGTAGCTGCTCAGCAGTTCAGTCTGCCCGGTAGCATTCCCTTTAACAATGCAATCACCCAGCGAGATGCTGTCAGCGAATGCTTGGAGCCACAGGGCAGGGGCTCGGAGATGGAGGAAACCACCTGCGGCTGTATGGCTGCAGCTCCGTGTCCTCTGTCCCTTCTGTTTCCTCGGACCACCCCGACTTCTGCTCTTCTCATAGTGCTCTGCTTGCTTAGAGTCATTAAGGTTGGAAAAGACCTCCAAGATCACCTGGTCCAACCATAAAAAAATAATAATAGAGCATTGCTCAGGCACAGAGGGCTTCCTTTCCTTCCATACGGAGGTGATCCAGGTGCAGAGGGGCTGGATCAGGGACCGCAGCAGTTAGCCAGGATGATGTCCATTACTTCCTACCGTAACAGAGCATTTGGCTTTGCACCGTGAGGGTCATAACTCTCAGTTAGTGCTGACTTGAGGCTTCTGCTGCAAGTGTTTAGAAATATTGCTTGCACATAAAGCATTCCCCTGCCCGAACAGGGAGGTGCAGAGGTGCCTGCTTGTTTCAGGCTGCTGGGGCAAGGGGGGATCTGCTGTGCAAGGCTTTAATAGGAAGAGACGTGATGAGAGGTGGCTGCAGCGCAGGGATTTGTCAACTTTAGGGGCTTTAAATGTGTGCAGAAAGAGAGGCGCTTTTCTGAGAAGCTACCTGAGCAGGTGGGCTGAAAAGGATGAATGCCACAAAAAGAAGGGCTTCGGTAGAGGTTTGGTTTTGCTTTCTGTATTGGACGGAGCTAAATCCTCAGTGTGAGGAAAGAAGCGGAAAGGTTAGGCTTTGTTTTCAAACTTTTTAGGAAACTCACCTAGACAGAGACAAGCCCAAACTGCTTATTTGGTGTGTTTCTGCTGATGCTCAGTGATAGCTGAGGTAGGTGTGGAAAACAAGCTGAGTGGAAAGCGTTTCACTTGCTGGTCCCTTTTTGCCACTGAGAACCTCTTCCAAAACTGAACTGCCGCCTTTCCCTCCCCTCAGGTAAGAAGCTGAGGAGAGAGATCAGCTTTGCACGCTGGCATAAAAGTCAGCAAACTCGAGCCCTGTAAGGATCAGCAGGAAAAATGAATTCAGGACCAGGCAGACCTTGTTCAAGAAAGGCTTTCATTGGCACCAGCACAGTGGAAGAAAGACAGGTAGCAGAAAGTGCCCATTGCTGCCAGCAGAGCAGTGTCTCAGGGACATGCAGGTACACGGAGAAACACCTGCTGGACGTGGGGACAGGCTGCCTGCACTCCAGTTTAATGTCTGGTGGCTCTTGCGATGTTCAGATAGACACCCTAGTTGAGGTTTATAGTATACAAAGTCATTATTTTGTCGTGGTAGGTGAAAATGATCAACTGTGGTCATTTTCACAGTGTACAATTTATCCTCTAACATGGAAGTTTACATAAAAACTCCAAACTGGTGGTGTCAGGAGTATGATAAGGTATTTGGCAAAAAATAAGGCCCCCATGTATACACAGAGGAAGACAAATCTCTATTATGTTGTTAAAAAATAGTCTTAGAGCCAGGATTTGCTAGGAAAGCTTCCCTTGTCTGTACCTTTACAGTCTTTTTTTTTTTTTCTTTCAATGTTTAAGTGGGGTAAAGTTATCCATGTACAGAAATTTGCTGCCCAAAACTCTCTGTTCCAATAAAGGAAAATGTAGACAACAGAAAACTTCAATCAGTTTAAAACAAAAAAAGGAAATATCCCTCGTGCAGCATGGCAGAATCAGACCCAGGCAGTCCTTGTGTCCACTGTGCTACAGTTTCAGCTACTGGGGCTTCCGCAGGCTGAAGAATACTCTGGCTGCTATCTTGACTGTTAAGTCTTCTTTTCACAAAATCCTCCGATACCGATCTCATTACCAAGGTGGATTTTTGGTGCTTAGCTGGTGCTGGAAACTGAAAATAGCGAGTTTTGGGAGGAAGAGCATGAAGCAGTTCTTGATGTACTGCTCGGGGTTGCTGGTTTTTGTGCTCTCCATCTAAACCTCCTCTGCTGGCTGTGACTGCAGAGAGGATGCTCACAGATGTGGCCTTTTGGTCTGTGCCAGGATCACCTTTTGTGAGCCCTTAGCATGTTTCAGAGATCCAGCGATGTCAGTTCATGCTCGGCCTGTGGTGTCTGGCATAGCCTCGGTATGCGCTAGGTTGAACATATGGAGACTGACTTTCTGCTTTAGCATGGTAGAGGATTTAAGCCTTTCCTTTGCTTTTACAGGGTCTGAGAGGACCTAAAGGTTAGATGAGATTGCCTCTGACCCAGCTGGTTCCCATGCTTGTCTCCAGACCTTTGAGCAAAGGCCTGAACGCCTTGCCTCACCTGGGTTCCTTGCGGCTCTCCTTGCTCTCTGCAGTGTTACTGTTTCAGAAGGGAAATAAAGCAATGCTTTGCTACAGGTTTTTAAATTACACTTGTGTATCTAGAGAAAGGTTTTAAATCCTAAATCAGCATGTGACTTTGTAACTGGGATATTAAACCTGGAGCGTTCAAATTACTTTGTTTTTACCTCCTTGAGTGATGCTCTTTTAATGCTCTAAAAACTCTGCGACATGTTTGTATTTTGCGTGCTTTCGGAGCGTGGGAGTTCCAGGTGTGAAGTTTGGGTTTGGATCATCAGTTCCTTTAAGAATGCAGCCACTAGGAGACACTGTCACTGCGTCTAGAGCAGAAGTTGAGGAGAGGCAGAGCAGGTGTCTGAGTGCTGGAGCTCAGCCCTCTGCGTGCAGGTAACTCACCCCCAGCTCCCAGCCAGCCTGGGATGGGCACGCCGGGATGCCTCTGCCACCTTTTGGAGAGGGCAATGACACAGATGTGGGCTCTTCCACTGCCGGTGGTCTCAGTGCCCGGAACAGTCCCAGGTCAGGTTGGCATAGATAGCAGAGATGTTACCTTTATGCGTATGCAGGGCACAGGTACCCAGCAAGTGTGTGTATGCACCCTGCTACTAAACAAATCGGGTGAAGTGGAGCGGTATGCTGAAACATTGGGATGTTTGGAAACACAGAAGTCTCTGGGTAATTGCTTAGCGTCGTGGTTTGATTAGTGCCATAGTCACAAGTGCTTCACAATTGTATGTCCAATTAATACAAGTGGTGTTTATGTTACATGGGTTGGCGTGGAGGCAGGGCTCCCGCTCTGTCTGGAGGAGCAGAGATGCTGCGTGTCAGCTGCAGAGATCCCTGTCTTGGCTGTTAGCGTTACCTCAGTTAACAGGCCAAGCAGCAGCCCAGCTGTGGGCTTTTCTTCCTCTCCCAGCCTTACTACTCCTACATCCTTCTACAGATGCTCTCTCTGCATCCTGGGTTTCACTGCCTCTGGTTACGGTTCCGCAGGCAGAAACAGAGTCTGCCTGCGCTACCTGCTCACAGAGCAACACGAATTCGGTCCCGATCAGGGAGGGGCATACGATTTGAGTTCTCTAAAATTAGCCACAGTACATCGCATGGAACTTACTTACAAAGGTTTTTCACCAGCTGTGGAAAGATGATTGTTAGTCAATTCAAGATAAAGCTAACATGGGAGGCATAAATAGTAAGTACCTTACCCAGCATCAAGCCCTGTGGATGCGAGTTAACCTGTCAACAGTTTTTGAACAAATTTGATCCTTAAGAATGAATTTATTATGCTGGATTAGTGTTTTAGTAATGTGGCTGTAGTGGTTTTGGATGTTGGAGTAGAAGCCCTAAAGCCATTTGCTGCATCGTCAAGACAAAGCCCAAAAGGGAGATTGCCAACATATATTATACACCTAGCCTGGGGACAATGAAACACACCTTAGTGAGTCAGAAAAACTAGCTTTGCATTTCATGATAGGGTTCAGGCTCCTACAGAGAGTGGGTTTTCAGGATCTGCCACAATATGTACAC